ATAATATTAACTCTAAGTGTTTGTTTAATCTACCGTTTTGACGCAAAATGCATTCTACGAAACTTTTTTCAACGATCCAACCATCAAAATTATTTGTACACATTCCGAGATTGCATACGTAAAAAATCATAAAAAATAAAGATTAAGAGATTACGTAACGGAACAAAAGTTATCGACGGTTATAAACGAAAAATCACAATTTAACGGTTATTTTAGCTCCGATTTTGATGATTTTTTACAGATACACTCCTCGACCCTATAAGAATGTAATGAATAAATTTGATGTTTAATTTAAAGTATTTACACTAGTGGATACCACAAAACTTATTTTATACTTGATAGAAGTATAATATTAACTCTAAGTGTTTGTTTAATCTACTGTTTTGACGCAATATGCATTATACGAAACTTTTTTCAACGATCCAACTGTCAAACTTATTTGTACACATTCCGAGATCGCATACGTAAAAAATCCTAAAAAACAAACATTTAGAGATTACGTAACGGAACAAAAGTTTTCAACGGTTATAAACGAAAAATCACAATTTAACGGTTATTTTAGCTCCGATTTTGATGATTTTTTACAGATACACTCCTCGACCCTATAAGAATGTAATGACTAAATTTGATCTTTAATTTGAAGTATTTACACTAGTGGATACCACAAAATCTTTTTTTATACTTAATAGAAGTATAACATTAACTTTAAGTGTTTGTTTAATCTACTATTTTGACGCAATATGCATTCTACGAAACTTTTTTTAACGATCCAACCGTCAAACTTATTTGTACACATTCCAAGATTGCATATGTAAAAAATCGTAAAAAAACAAACATTCAGAGATTACGTAACGGAACAAAAGTTATTAACGGTTATAAACGAAACTGTGAACACGGAAAATTCCTGAAACGAAAGAGACAAGAACGAACGCGCACAAACAAATATTTATGTGTTTTGATGATTTTGGGTTACAATCTCTCTCTATTTTGATCCTCTGATTCGATCTCCGTAAGGTGTTGATTTGTGGGATGTGCGATTGATCCAAGGGCCGTCGAGGCTTGATCTTGGATGAACGAGGATGAACGGATCTTCGAGGGCTTTTGAGCTTGATCTTGAAGAATGGTGATTGACGGATCTTCAAGGGCTTTTGGGCTTGATCTTGAAGAACAGTGATGAACGGATTTCCGAGGGCTTTTGGGCTTGAACTCGAAGAACAGTGACGAACGGATCTTCGAGAGCTTTTGGGCTTGAACGGATCTTCGAGGGCTTTTGGGCTTGATCTCGAAGAACAGTGATGAACGATGAACGCTTTCTTCAAGGGCCGTCGGGGCTTGGGCTTGATGAACAGCGAATGAGCGGATTTGTTGATGTTGTCGATCCAAAGGGGCCGTTGGGGCTTGATCCTTGAGGATGAACAGTTGATGAACGATGAACGCTTTCTTCAAGAGGCCGTTGAGGCTTGGGCTTGAAGGTGGATGATTGTTGATCCAAGGGCCGTCGGGCTTGATCTTGGAAGAACGATGAACGAAGAACGAAGAACACTTTCTTCAAGGGGCCGTCGGGGCTTGATCTTGAATTGGTGGATGATTGTTGATCCAAAGGGCCGTTGGGGCTTGATCTTAGGATGAACGAAGAACTAAGAGAGCTTTCTTGATTCTTCGGGAACCTGGATGCTTGAGAGCTTCGGAGTTTCAGAGCTTCAGAGCTTGCTTAATGATTTTGGTTCCCCAAAATGAATGAAATGGGCTTGTATTTATAGAATTTTCCAAGGCCTAATTTTGAATATAATATCCCAGATGAAATAAGTCGTTTCTGCCAGGTGTTGACACGTGTCCTATTTGATGACTTTTCCAACTCATTTCAATTTTCGTTGAGTCACACGCTACGTGTAAGATTTATGTAATACATGAGCGTTGACACTTTGATTTATCGGTCAACATTTATTTACCGAAATTTCGATGTCTACAAATGCCCCCACTTCAAGGCACGTCGTATACATGTGCTTGTCACGTGTAGGAGATGCGTTTTGAAGTCCCTTACTGTAGATGTCGATCCAAGGGCCGTCGAGGCTTGAATCTTGAATTGGGCTGGAGATTTCTTCAAGGGCCGTTGAGGCTTGATCTTGAATTGGGCTTGAGATTTCTTCAAGGGCCGTTGAGGCTTGTTCTTGAACTTTCGTTTGAAATTTCTTCAAGGGCCGTTGAGGCTTGTTCTTGAACTTTTATTTGAAATTTCTTCAAGGGCCGTCGAGGCTTGATCTTGAAGGTTGAAATTGGACCACAAGGAGCTTCATGTGGTAGATGATCTTTGGCTTTGGTAGTGGGTGAATCGACACGTATTTTGTTGCGCTTGTTGACCTTCCACAGCTTTGATCTTGAACTGGGTTGAAGGATTTCCTGGATTCCTTCAATTGTTGATTTTCCACAGCTTATTCTTGAACTAGGTTTTGATTCAAGGGTGGTAGACACTTAATCTTGAATCGGACTTGTGATTTCCTCAAGGGTCGTCGAGGCTTGGTGTTGAATTTGGCTGGAAACTTCTTCAAGGGCCGTTAAGGCTTGATTCTTGAAGGTTGACTCGAACACATGGCAAGCAGGCACGAGGTGAAGGTGACGACTTGTTGCTTTGTTCAATCTTTCTAATTCACACCTGAGCAGTTTGGTCAGCGGTATGATCTTCAAGATTGATGGGCTCTTCTTCCGGTTGGTGACTTGACCTTTAAGGATTTGATTCAAGGGTGGTGGAATCGACACGTGCAGCTCACACAACGCCTAGCAAGTCGACCCAAGAATTTGAAGGTCAAAACGAGTCCACCGTCCAGAGTGATTGCACCCTGATGATATGAGATACTTTTGATTTTAACGAAGTAGCGGATGAATCAGCACGTGCTTGGTTGCACTTGTCTCCACATGCTTCAATGTATTATTTTCCCTTGCTTTATCTGTTCCTCAGGCATATGTGGCATCTTCTCGAGTTTTTCATCTCAGACTCTTTCTGCTGAGTTGACTGTGCATGCTGCATTCTTCTCTGCTTGTTTCTTCAGGCAGATGTGGCAGCTTCTCGAGTTCTTCAGCTCGGACTCCTTCTGCTGAGTTGACTGTGCAGACCGCATTCTTCTCTGCTTGTTCCTTTTGCACATTGTCTCCACATGCTGCAAGGCATCATTTTCACTTGCCTTATCTATTCTTCAGGCAGATGTGGTAGTGTCTTTGGAAGTATAGCAGCAGTGGGAGACGAGTACTCGAGAGCAGTGCTAGGTAGGCAATCAGGGAAGGGTTCCAAGCAGTCGATTCCTTACCCGAGTTTGAGTGGAAGTTCCGGCATATTGTTTTCTTTATCCTTGTCTTTGTAGGTAGGAACAAGGACAAAGGAAATGACAGGGAGAGTGCATGATATGAGATACTCTTGCTTTCTACCCTGGTGATATGAGATACTTTTGCTTTGGAGTCATTGGCTTGCAGAGGTACCCCAAGGAATAAGGAACACTGAATGACTCGAGAGGCTTCGTTGGGAAAGCATCTTTGGACATGAAGAAAGACTCTGTATGTCTGCCTTGCTATGGAAGGCGAAGGTAGACAATTATAGGAAGTTCTTTGATACCTGTAGAGGTACTATTCTTTCACTCGTGTTGGCAACCAATGCGTGATTGATCTATATGGCTTCACGTGCTTTCTTCTTTATCAGAAATCTTCGACAAATTGTCCGTAATTTCCGCCAAGCTGAGTGTGCATGTGACAGGTGTTGACGCGGCTGAAAAAGACTGGCGCCTCTTCGATATCTGGGATCGGCGCTTCGACAAATTACCCGTGATTTCCGCAAAGCTGAGTTTGCATGTGATGGGTGCCGACGCGTCTGGAAAAGCAAGATGCTTTTCCGATTTCTGAGCTTGCCTCTTCGATTTTTGAATGGCCTCTTCGAATTCTGAGCTCGCCTCTTCGATCTCTGAAATCCCGTCGAGTGCTGATTTTTTATAGAGGCATGCAGTTCGTTTCAAAGCACACTTGAATTTTCGCTTGTGAAAACTCCCCTCTTGTACTTCTAAGATCTTGATTTGTCCGATCTCTTCTTCCTTCAACACTTTGAAAATGTCTGGACCCTCCGACCGTCGTTTTGACTTGAATCTTGGTGAAGAGGCAGTCCCGCCTTCTCCAGACAACATATGGCGCCCATCCTTCATATCCCCCACTGGTCCTCTTACCGTTGGGGATTCGGTGATGAAGAATGATATGACCGCTGCGGTGGTGGCCCGGAACCTTGTCACTCCCAAAGATAACAGACTACTTTCCAGGCGGTCTGATGAGTTGGCTGTTAAGGAGTCCCTGGCTCTTAGTGTGCAGTGTGCGGGTTCTGTGTCCAACATGGCCCAACGCCTATTTGCTCGAACCCGTCAAGTTGAATCGTTGGCGGCTGAAGTGATGAGTCTCAAACAGGAGATTAGAGGGCTTAAGCATGAGAATAAACAGTTGCACAAGCTCGCACACAACTATGCCACAAACATGAAGAGGAAAATTGACCAGATGCAGGAATCTGATGGTCAGATTTTACTTGATCATCGGAGGTTTGTGGGTTTGTTCCAACAACATTTGCCTTCGTCTTCTGGGGCTGTACCGCGTAATGAAGCTCCAAATGATCAACCTTTGGTGCCTCCTCTTCCTGGAGTTCCGTCGAGTGGTGTGGCTTCAAATAGTCAACCTTCGGCGCCTCTAATTTCTGGAGCTCTGCCGAGTGGTAAGGCGGCACCTGATCGTCCTTGAAGATACCCTCTTGTAAATTTGATTTGATTTGATTTTTTTTTTTTTTTTTTTTTTTTTAAGGTATGTATAATGCAAATTTATGTAAAAATTTCCTGAAAAATAAATAAAATGGACCTTCTATTTCTCTCTATGCATTTGTTTTTTTTTTTTTTTCTTGTTTTTCTTTTGGTGCTGGATGCACCAAGTTCCATCATTTTTTTTTTTTTTTATTATTATTATTATTATTATTATTATTTTTTTTTTTACAATTTTTTTTTTCTTTCTGCACATGGTGCCCATGCACCACCAGAAACTTTTGATCTGCCATGGGGCTGTACCCCATCTTTGATCCACCATTCCATTTTCTATTATTATTTTTTTGTATAAATTTCGATGATGGGCTGGGGAATTTGCAGGGAGCGGAGCAAGGACGGACGGAGAGCTGGAGTTTAAGGAAGAGCTTCTCGGCCGGCTAGTCGTTTGACAGCGGTCTTTGAAGTTGGTGGCAGCTGCGAGGCGAGAGACGGATGAGGGTGCAAGAGAAGAGCGGAGCAAGGAGGATGACGGAACAACAGCGTCATGAGAGCATGGACGACGTCCATGATGGTGACTGTCTTCCTGCGGGCGTGCTCGGTATATGTCACAGCGTCACGGATGACGTTCTCCAAGAAGATGTTAAGGAAGCTTTTGGTCTCCTCGTAGATTAGCTCGCTGATTCTCTTCACCCCGCCTCTTCTGGCCAGCCTCCGAATCGCCGGCTTGGTGATGACCTGGATGTTGTCGCGGAAGTCCTTGCCGTTTCGCTCCGTCCTCCAATTCCAGTCTGACCAGTCCCCCTCGTTCGTGTCCACGCACTTTGTCACCTCCTTGGCGTTCTGGTCCTGAGGAGCAATGTAGTGGTACCCCTGGCTGTTGATGGTTGGGTTACCACTACCGCCGATAGCATACATCTCCCACCGCGTGAAGTTGTTGTTCACCACGTGGATGTACCCGCGTCTGCACCGCGGCATACGCTGCACCAGCGCCATACTGAAGTGGTTAAACGCAATCGTCACCTGCATCCCGCTGTCCGGCAGGTACTTGTCGTCGTGGCCCAATAGCATCACCTCGTCGTGGCCCAATAGCATCACCTCTGCGGCACCACCGGACGCCTATTGCCAAGGACGGTCCACAGATACAGTCCAACAAACGATGCCAATGCTCCACAAGCAACACCGAAAACCATTGCTCCGAAAGCCCTTTTTGTACAATCCTTCTTCTTTTCCAAAGCCTCCGCCTTCGAGTTCTTACCAACGGCCATGGGGTCTAGCGGCTGCGAGTGCATCCAGTGAGGAACATGCTTTTGCTCAAAGCTCCAAGAGTACACAGAACATGTCTGAGACGAATTCCTACTCATTGCACTCAATCCCACAAACAATTCCTTATTTCCCCACATTTTCGACAAATCAATCGGATACCACAGCAGAGGAGAAGACGATCTTGAAAATTGGAGGTTTCTTCATCATCCAATCTAATTTCACCATCTTCTCCTTCTTCATTCATGAGACTAGATGCCCTTGCTTTCACTCTGGATATAATTATAACATCTGTATCTCCGGCATCGTGTATTGAAGCACGCATAAACTCTGCAGAAAGAATGTTATTTATCGATTCAATATAAGCAGCTACACGATCCCGGAGGTGATGAAAGCAATGTAGACCGGTCAACTCATCCCCATACAGCAAATGCTGTAAATCATCTGTGACGTCCAAGGCTCCAGCACAATCTGCAGAGGCAACAAGGAGTTTAAGTGCCGAATGGATTGACGTATAAAATGAGCCTCAACTTCTGCTGCAGAGCCAACAAATTCCTCCTGGTTTCATTTAGATCATGAATCTGCCTTGCGCAGTCAACCAAATCGACATCCATGAGCAAAATTGTATCCTTGAGCTCTTGAATCCGACTGCATCCCTCGACGATCTTGACATTCAAATCCTGCAACTGCCCCTGGGAGTCAAAGAAGGAGTTGGAACGTAGCGAGATCTCCTTCACCAAGTGAAGCTTCACCACGTCCAAGTAATGTGATAGCTTCTCCTGCAACACCAGGTTCTCGGGGACGTTTGTGAATGGGCACGTCGAACGGAACGTGGCACCGTCCTCCGGGGCGGAGTCCTTGTAATAGAGCGCCGGGACTTCCCGTAGGCACGCGACGAGGGCTTCGCCTTGGCCGCCGGTGGAGGCGAGGTAAGGCTGGAAGTCAGATCGGGTCATGGAGTCCGATGCCGATTTAGGCACGAGATGAGCGAATTCAGGTGGGGGGATGGAGGCGGAGGTGAAACTCGACGGAGCAGAACTCGCACTGTCCGTCACCGTCGCAGGCGTCGCAGTCACGTGAGAAGCGCATGCTCATGGCCCGGTCGGAGGTGAGAGGGATGAGATCTGATTGGGCGCTGAGGGAGAGACGGTGACGGTTCTGTCCCTCGATCCTTAGCCACCGTCGGCAAACCAGAGAGTAACGTTTCCGGTCGCCGGACCTGATGGACTGGAATATGCAGGCCAATCACTCGTCGGGAAGATCGAAGATGAAATCGGACGCCACGTCGTCGACGATCTCAGAACGTTCCTCGTCGGGTTGCAGCATCGGGGAGATCGCGGCCGTTGCTTTGGACTTGGATCAACGGCTATGGTTGTTGCTGTCACGGCAGCTTGAATTTACGGCCTCCGAGGATGACTGGCCCGTCCACGGGTTCTTCACTTCCATGGTGATGTAAAGGTTGCTGGGTATGGGTGCAAGGAAGGAGGACGCCAAGGGTGGTCACCTTGAAAACTCACGGCAGCCATTTCGAAGGTTGCGGCGGCTTCGAGTTCAGAAACATCGAGAGAGTTGAAGAGGGAGAGAGAGTGACGCGGCTTGGGCTTTCAGCAGAGGGCTCGGGGCAGCTAGGCTTGTCTGGACCATTGTTGGCCCAATGGCATTGTTGATGCTGGAGCTTGGTGTTGGGCCGAGACATATATATATATGTTTCCCCCTTTTTTTTTTTTTGTAATAAAATTGACTTTCATCAATGAGACTTTAATTTTTTTATGTTGATATGACTGAACTCGAAATTGAATGCTCGAGCTGCCTACGTACCCTTCCAAAGAAAGAGATCAAGTCAAAACGTAGTTCGAATACATAGATATTTTTGGTATTTTCTTTTTGTGCCGTTTGCAGTTTTAACTCATGCAGGCAAGGAGTGTTGGTGTCGTTTGCAGTTTCAACTCGTGCAGACAATGAGCATTTGGTGCCGTGTTGCAGTTTCAGCTCGTGCAGGCAAGGAGCGTTGGTGTTGCCTTTTATGCTCGTGCAGACCAGGAGCGTTGTGCCATGCAGTTTTAGGCTCGTGCAGGCGAGGAGCATTTGTGAATTTTGTCAAGCAATCCGGGAGAGGCGTTCCTCACAATTTTCATAGCAAGGAGCTTTGACCGTGTGATTGAAGAAGTCTTCGGGCAAGAAGTCGCGCATCGTGATGGTAATGGACGATTTTTGTGTCGCAATTTCATCATCTTCAACACGTTTGCGTTGCTTTGAAGGTTGACAAGAGCTGTTTTGCCCCCTTTCCGATTGGCGGACTTGTGGAGGAGACGTATGCTTCTTGTGCAATTTCTTAGGAGTGACTTGAGTCCATCCTTCAATTTTGCTTGTCTTGGAGGATGCCCCCAGTGGTTGAGGTGAAAACTTTGAGTCGGAAGAGCCAGAAGTAAAGGTGGTATAGTTTGACTTCACCACATCGTCAAGATCTAGCTCGATGATTCCTTTCTGAGCCAGCTTCATGATGAGATCTTTCAGCACAAAACATTTTTCTGTCGGATGACTGATGAAGCGGTGGAATTTGCAGTACCTTAGACTGTCGGTACGATTCATCTCTTCCGGCCGTCTGCACTCAGGCAAACTGATCACCTTTTTGTCCAACAGGTCATCCAGCATGGCAACTACATCAGAGTCGGGGAATGGATAAATCTTCTCCTCAAGCTCCTTCAAAGTGCGTCTACGCATCTCTTGATCACGAAAAGCTTCGGTTTGAATTGCCTTGCCTCGTGTGGAGATTTTGACGGGAGCTGTGTTGACCGTCATCGCTTCCTTGGTGGGTTTCCATGCAGCCTTTTCCACCTTTGTCCCAAGAACTTTGTCGTTCTTGTAGTCGGCGATCGACTCTTTCTTCCCATGATGGGCGATGCTTAACTCCATGTCATGGGCGCGAGTGGCCAATTCCTCGAAGGTCCGTGGTTTAATGCCTTGAAGAATGTATTGCAAACCCCATTGCATGCCTTGGATGCACATCTCGATTGAAGAGGTTTCCGAGAGCCTGTCTTTACAGTCGAGGCTTAGAGTGCGCCATCTGTTGATGTAGTCAATGACTGGCTCGTCCTTCCACTGCTTTGTGCTTGTTAGCTCTAGCATGCTCACAGTGCGGCGGGTGCTATAGAAGCGATTGAGGAATTCCCGCTCCAATTGCTCCCAACTGTTGATAGACTCAGGCTCCAGATCCGTGTACCACTCAAAGGCGTTTCCTTTAAGCGAGCGCACAAACTGCTTGGCGAGGTAATCCCTTCGGTTCCTACGTTGTTGCAAGTTTCAACGAAGTGGGCAACGTGCTGTTTCGGGTTTCCCTTTCCATCAAATTGCATGAACTTTGGTGGTTGATAACCCCTCGGCATCCTTAAGGCGTCGATCTTCTTTGAATACGGCTTTGAGTACAACCCGGAGGTATATGAGCTCCCTTCGTACTGTGCCTTGATGGTGTTGGTGATCATCTCTTGCAGCTGCTGGATAGAAAGAGATCCCATGAGTGCCGCTGCTTGGTCTGGGTTCGGCTTCACATCGTTTTTCTCCACCTGAGGCTCATCTTCTTCGTCATCTCTTCTCTTTAGTGGATCATTCTCTGGGTCGGGTTTATCGTCGTCCTGCGCCTCTAGTCGATTGACGAGTGTTGCAATTTGCAAGTCTTTTTCTTCCACAATTCGGGTTAGCCTTGCGATTGCTTCATTCATTTGAGCCAGTTGTTCTTCAACGGAGATAACGCCGATAGTCATGACTTGTGCGACCAATAGACGTGACTTTCCTTTAGACATCCAGGATGCTGATGAAGAACGTCGTTGGCTGCTTTGGGATGTCATCTTGTGTGCCCCAACATCGTGCTTCGGTGCCCCCAGCGAGGTCAGGTTGATGACATACTCACACCTTGGATGCTCCCATTGCTCTTTTAGCGGCACCAATTTTGAAGTGGCATGTTGAGGAGCGGTCGTGGCGCCAATGGATTGTCCGTTTGCGGCAGAAGTGCTTAGGATCATTCCCTCAGTGGTTGCAAGAACGGCTTGTTCCTTGCTTGATGCCATTGACTTTGAGGTGTGCTTGGATTCCTTGAACGGAGAAAGAGATGAGAGGTAGAGATTGTCCCACTGGGCGTGCCAATTTGTGAACACGGAAAATTCCTGAAACGAAAGAGACAAGAACGAACGCGCACAAACAAATATTTATGTGTTTTGATGATTTTGGGTTACAATCTCTCTCTATTTTGATCCTCTGATTCGATCTCCGTAAGGTGTTGATTTGTGGGATGTGCGATTGATCCAAGGGCCGTCGAGGCTTGATCTTGGATGAACGAGGATGAACGGATCTTCGAGGGCTTTTGAGCTTGATCTTGAAGAATGGTGATTGACGGATCTTCAAGGGCTTTTGGGCTTGATCTTGAAGAACAGTGATGAACGGATTTCCGAGGGCTTTTGGGCTTGAACTCGAAGAACAGTGACGAACGGATCTTCGAGAGCTTTTGGGCTTGAACGGATCTTCGAGGGCTTTTGGGCTTGATCTCGAAGAACAGTGATGAACGATGAACGCTTTCTCTCAAGGGCCGTCGGGGCTTGGGCTTGATGAACAGCGAATGAGCGGATTTGTTGATGTTGTCGATCCAAAGGGGCCGTTGGGGCTTGATCCTTGAGGATGAACAGTTGATGAACGATGAACGCTTTCTTCAAGAGGCCGTTGAGGCTTGGGCTTTGAAGGTGGATGATTGTTGATCCAAGGGCCGTCGGGCTTGATCTTGGAAGAACGATGAACGAAGAACGAAGAACACTTTCTTCAAGGGGCCGTCGGGGCTTGATCTTGAATTGGTGGATGATTGTTGATCCAAAGGGCCGTTGGGGCTTGATCTTAGGATGAACGAAGAACTAAGAGAGCTTTCTTGATTCTTCGGGAACCTGGATGCTTGAGAGCTTCGGAGTTTCAGAGCTTCAGAGCTTGCTTAATGATTTTGGTTCCCCAAAATGAATGAAATGGGCTTGTATTTATAGAATTTTCCAAGGCCTAATTTTGA